AATATCTGGAATACCCATAATACTGAGCAGGTTGTGTGAACGAAGGTATGAAAGCTCGTTGTCTTGACAATAGCACGATTCCTCTATTGGAACAGCGGCAGTGGACACGAGGGTGCATGCTGACAATGAAAGTGATGTTTCGTGAAAATATACGGTTTATTGATTCCCGCTTATACGCAATATACAACTACATCAACGGCTTAATCCGAATGCTGCAGTGATAGATCTTGACAAGTACCTGCAGTGTAAACGCAAACAAATCTAAACTCAAATAGTGATTGACATTAGCTCCAGTTACTCATGGGACTTTTAGCCTAATCATTTCTGTGTACAACATTAAACTGCATAGTGACGCTGTTACTGTTTGTATCATATCGCGTTTCAACGTAATGTGAAGTGAATTAATTCAAGATTATCGCACCTGAAGCAACCATATTTTCAAACATACCTGCAGACACAAGGCGGTACGGTACGTTTATTTTTGGGGAATGGATTACAACTGAAAACACCCTGAAAAGATCGAAGTGTTATTAATCAGCTGAACCATAATAAATAGTTTTGTTACAACTGTAGTCTTATGTCTGGATGTACAGGTTGTTGTGTGCTTTCTTATTTCAAAAGTGACAACAAGTATTTGTTTTAATTATACATGTTTCAATTTGAAATGTACTTACATTGCGGTCTGTTGTAGCAAAATGTAATGGGTTAATTCTGAAGACGTTTTATTTGCATAAATCCGAAATAATTATGTATTTGCAGCAAACTTAATTTCTACCGTTACTTTGCAAAATACCCAATTTTGAATGGTCAGTCACGGTTTCAAATCACAAAATGTATCTCTTTTTTAATAAAAGCGTCAAAATATTTTCAGAATCATAAATCATAAGTCATAATCATGGAAGCCTATACTACCGAGTCCATTGTACGATTCCATCTCAATCATAAGCATGTGTTTATGAATCACTGTGAAATAGTGATGATACCTGGTGTTCGCGAAAGGTAAGCGTATTCTGATCCATCGGTGGCATCCGTCACACTACGTTCAAAGGCAAGTCAATTGTTCACCTGAAAATATGACTCATATACCGCTTAAATATTCTACAGAAGTGTGCTGTGTTGTGTACTGTATGCTGCGGTAACGTACTAGCCAAACTGTTATTCACTGACAGGTTGCCTCGCTGTGTTATTCACTTACTCACTGACTGTGTTTTTTTACTCGCTGACTACGTTATTCACTTAATTACACGCTTGTGTTATTCACTCATTGCTTCACTTATTCTGTTATTCATCTACCCGTCGACTACATTGTTAATGTACTGGCTGACTGTTATTCACTTACTGCCTTACTGACTGTGTTATTCACTTACTGCCTTACTGACTGTGTTGTTCACTTACTGCCTTACTGACTGTGTTATTCACGTACAGCCCTACTGACTGTGTTATTCACTTACTGCCTTACTGACTGTGTAATTCACTTACTGCCTTACTGACTGTGTTGTTCACATACTGCCTTACTGACTGTGTTATTCATTTACTGCCTTACTGACTGTGTTATTCACTACCTCACTACTGTGTTATTCACTTACTGCCTTACTGACTGTGTTATTCACCTACTGCCTTACTGACTGTTTTATTCACTTACTGCATTACTGACTGTGTTATTCACTGCCTCACTACTGTGTTATTCACCTACTGCCTTACTGACTGTGTTATTCACTTACTGCCTTACTGACTGTGTTATTCACTTAGTTACTTACTGACTGTGTTATTCACTTACTGCCTTACTGACTGTTATTCACTTACTTACTTACTGACTGTGTTATTCACTAACTTACTTACTTTCTGTGTTATTCACTTACTGCCTTACTGACTGTGTTATTCACTTACTGCCTGACTGACTGTGTTATTCACTTACTTACTTACTTACTTACTGACTGTGTTTTACTCGCTGACTACGTTATTCACTTAATTACACGCTTGTGTTATTCACTCATTGCTTCACTTATTCTGTTATTCATCTACCCGTCGACTACATTGTTAATGTACTGGCTGACTGTTATTCACTTACTGCCTTACTGACTGTGTTATTCACTTACTGCCTGACTGACTGTGTTATTCACTAACTTACTTACTTTCTGTGTTATTCACTTACTGCCTTACTGACTGTGTTATTCACTTACTGCCTTACTGACTGTGTTATTCACTTACTTACTTACTTACTGACTGACTGTGTTATTCACTTATTTACTGACTGTGTTATTCACTTACTTACTTACTGACTGTGTTATTCACTTACTACCTTACTGACTGTGTTATGCACTTACTGCCTTACTGACTGTTATTTACTTACTGCCTTACTGACTGTGTTATTCACTAAGTTACTTACTGACTGTGTTATTCACTTACTGCCTTATTGAGTGTGTTGTTCACTTACTGCCTTACTGACTGTGTTATTCACTTACTTACTTACTGACTGACTGTGTTATTCACTTACTTACTTACTGACTGACTGTGTTATTCACTTACTTACTTATTTACTTACTTACTGTGTTATTTTCTTAGTCACTTACTGACTGTGTTATTCACTTACTACCTTACTGACTGTGTTATGCACTTACTGCCTTACTGACTGTGTTATTCACTTACTTACCTACTGACTGTGTTATTCTCTAACTTACTTACTTACTGTGTTATTCACTTACATAGGTACTGACTGTGTTATTCACTTACTACCTTACTGACTGTTATTCACTTACTTAATTACTGACTGTGTTATTCACTTACTTACTTACTGACTGTGTTATTCACTTACTTACTTATTTACTTACTTACTGTGTTATTCACTTACTTACTTATTTACTTACTTACTGTGTTATTCACTTACTTACTTACTGACTGTGTTATCCCCTAATACCTTACTGACTGTGTTATGCATTTACTGCCTTACTGACTGTGTTATTCACTTACTACCTTACTGACTGTGTTATTCACTTACTTACTTACTTACGATACTTACATCAACTACTGTAAGCGAGGTGTAACGTGGAGTTGAACACCCTTTCGTGCTACCATCAGCTGGTAGTTAATCATCAGTTGTCAGTCCAAGTGCATGTGGAGTATGACAATCGGTGTCAGTGTTGCGGGACTCTCAAGGAGTCGGGGTTTGTGCCACAACTGACCGTAAATCCCGTTGAATACCCACCCCTACCGAAGACAACTCCACACCCGTTTTTCATGAAGATATTCAAGGCGAAGTAAATGACCTGGTGTAAACATTGCAAAATGAGCTAGGGATATTTGACTGTTAGATATTGCTCAATGATGCGTTTATTTGTTTTTGAGATAAGCATCGATATCAACTGCCTACATATACAGTGTACATTGTACAATGAAATGAATTTACAGCAAAGTCAGCAATGATTTACAGATTCCGCCATACACACTTTCTCGCACTTACAATCCAACAGGAGACTTACAATCACCAGAAAGTGAGAAAAATTCACATAAATAAAGTGACAAAACCCTTTCCATATCAAATAGAAATCTCTGCATAAAGCAGAATCGATTGTACGATTCCGACTATATCATGAGCATGTGTTTATGAATCATGTTTTTCATGAGGATATTCAAGGCGAAGTAAATGACCAAGTGTAAACATTGCGAAATAGGTCATGCGCTTGGGATATTTGACTGTTCTCATGACCCAGGTATATATGTCGAAATATGTTGTAAATACATGGGGTCACCATGTATAACAGGTCCTCAGGGATATATGTAATATGGTTAATCATCTAGAAATGGCATTTAATGTTAGTACTTGAATGTATGTTAAGGAATATAGGTAGGCTTTAATGATAATGTCGCTTCAGCGTTATTTGTACCCTTGTCATGTGACTTCGATACGAGGGTGTATGGCCCCAGTGCGTTTGATGCACGTTTCCACCTAGCTTGATCTGAAGTGCGATAAGTGGCAATTTGTATGTTTTACCACAGAAGTAAGTTTTCTTGAAATAAATTTGACATAATGAAGTAAATGGTAAGTAAAAGGCAAAACTAATTTTATCAAGTTCAGTAACCGATGATAATATCTTCTCAGTGCGTTTGGCATCTACATTTTGACTCTTTTCGTTTCAGAAATAGTTTCGTCGTCTACCGCGCTGCGATTCGCTTCGCAGAGTTACGTCCCTTATACATGCCTGTATCCTATGAGCGTGAGTCCAATTCCAGATTTGCCCTTGTTAAGATTCTTGGATTGTCACCATACAAGTGGTATACGTCACTCTTCGGCCTTTCCGCCCAATGAATTAATCTGACACGTGATATAAAATGAAATACGTTTCAAAGAGGTGTTTTTCCAATGTCGCTCACTCACGTTTGAACAATATGAATAAGAAGCTTTGTGATTTCCTTTTGATGAATCACACATAGGAATGTGAACATAACCTGCTCTAAATGTCCTGTAGACATGGTGAATCACTATAAATCGAAAATCGCCTGGGACTCCCATACCAAGGAAAACAAAGAACAACTAATGGTTAAGCTATTCTGTATTTCAATAACAATAACAGCAATTGTAAACTTAATTAAAGGGTGTTCATCTCTGTTTCGGCATATCATTAATAAATATCATAATACCTTTGTTCCGTGCCCATTGTGTACGGGAGATATTCCTCAATGATTCGTTTATTTGTTTTTGAGATAAGCATCGATATCAACTACCTACATATACAGTGAACATTGTACAGGAATTTACAGGAAGGTTAGCCATGATTTACAGGTTCCGCCATACATACTTCCTCGCACTTACAATCTGATAGGATACTTACGATCATCACAAAGTGGGAAACATTCACATAATTAAAGCGACAAAACCCTTTCTGATCCAATAGAAATCTCGATTGTACGATTCCGACTATATCATGACAACGTGTTTATGAATCACTATCAAATAGTAATGATACTAAGTGTTTGCGAAAAGGTAAGCGTATACTGCCCTACCGGTGGCATCCGTCACAAACACATGCAAAGGCAAGTGAAAAAACACGGAAACATATGGTACAAGTCAAAATAAGGAATTGCATTGGACATAACAAAATTTCACTGATGCGTCAAACAACAAATGTTTACAGATAAACAACATTTACTGGAATGTGCTTGATTGTAGTATACGTGTATGTATATGCATGTACGGTTGAATTGCGTTCTGACTCTCAGCTTTCATCTTCCAACAATATACACCCTCCGTGTGTCAGTCACTTGTTCATGTTTTCACTGTTTAACTTTGGATGTTTCAAGTTGAGCCTCTGAACCAGGATACCGAGGAGGGAGATCAGCACCATCATCTATAGGTGGCGCTGTAGGCTGCTGCTGGGTAGGAAAGTCAGATTGAACAGCATATGGAGGCTGTGGTGGAGGATACACAGGCTGACCCTGGGGTTGAGGCTGAGGCTGAGGCTGATGTTGGGGATACTGAGGCTGACACAGGGGCTCAGGCTGGTACTGACTTGCCGCTTGAACTGGATATGAACTTTGAGATTGATATTGATGCTGGGTCTGAGGTTGATACTGCCCATGTGCTGGATACGACGAATGCTGCATCACTGTCTGTGCTGATGAGTTAGATGGATAGCTGATGGGTGTGTTGATATTGGTGATGTTGACGTTAGAAGGGGCAGCGACAGCTGCTTGCCTGTTGTTTCTATGTCTTCTACCTCGATATTTGAAACGAAAAACAACGCCTGCGATGACGCATACAGCAACAACAACAGCAACCACGCCCCCGATGATGCCTTTGGAATTCGAGGTGGATGTGTCAGATGTTTTCGGAGTGCCTAAGAAAAAACAGAGTTATTGATACCATTTCCTGAAGAGATACATGCGTGATAGATGCTAAAGCTGAAGTTGGAATATGTTTCAGATACTTGATAGCAATGCGTAGACGAATTGTGGTTCACGGTGTAAAAAGAGAAAACACATATTGGCTTGGGTAAATGTATTTGGTCGAACATGAGTGAGTGTGAGTGAGTTGGGTTTAACGCCACTTTTAACAGTATTCCAGTTATATCGCGGCGTGTCAGCTTAATGTGGGAGGAAAGCCCGAAGTGCAGGTCTAAGACGTTTAACACTTCGGTGAAACCCACAGGCGCGGGTATGGTGCTGACACACCTAGAAACATATTCGGGACGAACCGGGATTCGAACCAGCAATCATAGGTTTCTGGCGTGCCCAAGGGACACAACTCTGCACAGCGAATCGCGGCGCCTTAGACGACTGGGCCACCCGTGCCTCCCCGGTCGAACATGAACGTGCAGCCCCTGCAACCCGCTAGTGACACTTGTAACACCCCGCAAGGTCACACGTTACATAGACTTATGTGCAGTGAAATAGTCACATTTAAATCTATCTTGGGACACCATGAGCGAACAGTGTCAATAGTGACGTGGCAAGCAATTGACGTCACACCAAACACTATGACGTAATGATATCCGATATGCCAATCACATAACTAGATTCTTAAACGAGTAATGATAATTATGTTTCCATCTGTCATATCATGATTTGATATTGAAGATATATACATGGTTAGAGTATAAATACAGTAAACTACGGTTATAACGAACTCAAATGGACCACTAATTTTAGTTCGTTATAACCGTAGTTCGTTATAAGCATAATGTTTTTTTATATACAACATCTATACAGCAAATGACCGGGACCAAAAATAAAGTTCGTTATATCCGTCAGTTCGTTATAAGCGTTTTCGTTATAAACGTATTTTACTGTAACATATCCTTATAAGACGCCTACTTATTATACCTACTTTGGCATCTCAGATCGAATCGTCTATCAGTTTGCTGGCTTGTATACGTTATAAAAACATATTGTCCCGTGCTCTGAATATCCTGACTCTTAGTTCCACAGAACTTCTTCAATAGTCTTCCATACGGCGTTTTACCTGGAACAAACAAAGACTTCAGCAGTCCAAGTTGATTGTCATCTTAGCCAAGTTTATGTGTTTCCTATTTCGATACCATAAACACGGAAACATAAAAGAAAAGCTTTCTAATGTAGGCATTATGTCAAAGATTGTTGCATGCTGCTTCCATCGTCACTTCATGTTTCTAGAACAATACCTTCATACACACGGACGTAGGATGTGGAACACACTGGCCCAAATTCCACATGGCGGAATGTAAGTTTCAGCACATTGTTAGTGGTATTTGTACTCAACAGGATGCCATCTGGATATACCGTGTACCTGAAATGTTCAACGTGATATGTCACAAATTTTATAATAGATATGTCAAACTCAATGTCATGCGTACCGGTTTGTGTTCATCTTTTAAAATTCTGTGTTATAAATTCAGTTTCTGTGTCCTGGGCATATAACATATTCTGCAACCGTTTCTGCAACATTATTAAATCTCATATTATCCCCGTGAGTAGCTTTAGTGCTGTTAATTCGACGTTAAGCAACATTCACTTCACTCATACGTAAATTATTTCATATACGACTGTTTGGCTGACTTTGAATTTAATTGATATACATTGTACAGTACACTACGGTTATAACGAACTCAAAGGGACTAGTTCGTTATAACCGTTGTTCGTTATAAGAATATATACAGCATAATTACAGCAAATACTCGGGACTAAAAAGTAAGTTCGTTATATCCGTCAGTTCGTTATAAGCGTGTTCGTTATAACCGTAGTTTACTGTACTTGTGTATGAAATGAACTTCTGATATTGTAGGTCTGTAATAACTTCAGTATAACGTTGTCAAGATACATTTACTCCATACACAATCTGCAATTCAATAATACTATCGAGATTTACTATGTGTTTTTTTTCAGACTGATTAATCGTCTAACAGTGAAAACATATGTACAGAACAAACCCCTTGTCATCTGGAGAAAAACTTATTAAAACGCTGTGGAGTCAAAATCTTAATCACATTTCAAATTGTTACCTTGCATTTCAAACCAAAGTACATGTTTAATTGAAATGAAATAACAAGACATAACTTGCGTAAGGAACAGTTTGGTCAGAATCCAAATTAAATTCTATTCTAAGATTAAAAAATAGTAAATATAATCAGAAATCCCATGGGATTCTTCGAAAGCCTGATTAAACACAAGTACCCACTTGCACAAAGCCGTCTTAGCGCTACGACCAACGTTACTTCCTTACGTTAGTATTAACTTTTACAAGCGCTTCGTGTAAGTGGGTCATGTGCATCATCAATCTACTAACACAAAGAGAGGAGTTTGTGCTATACGTTTCTAAAAAGTCACAATATGATACATGGGAACATGATCAAAGTGTCGAGACCCGTGAGTGAGTGAGTGAGTATGGTTTTACGCCGCTTTTAGCAATATTCCAGCAATATCACGGCGGGGGACACCAGAAATGGGCTTCACACATTGTACCAATGTCGGGAATCGAACCCGGGTCTTCGGCGTGACGAGCGAACGCTTTAACCACTAGGCTACCCGACCGCCCCCGAGACCCGTGAAGACTCCGGGGTAGAATAGATCTTCAGCAACCCATGCTTGCCGTAAAAGGCGACTATGCTTGTCATAGGAGGCGACTAACGGGATCGGGTGGTCAGGCTCGCTTGGTTGACTTGGTTGAAGCATGTCATCGATCCCAATTTCTTGGATCGATGCTCATGATATCAATCACTGGATTGTCTGTTCCAGACTCGATTATTTACAGACCGCCGTCATACAGCTGAAATATTGCTGGGTGCGGCGTAAAACAACAAACAAACAAACAAACAAACCTGAGTGTCGGAGTTAAACATTGTGTGCTTCACGTACATGTAACAAAATACTGCTATAAATAGTACACCCTGCTACAAGAACTGTTAAGACACTGTAGCTACTTACGTTCCATAACTGACATACGCATAACGTGACCGAGCATATATTGAAGATGCATATGGCGATGATAGACACTGTACTTGGTAGGGACTTGCATGAATGAGGGGGATACCTGAATTATTGAAAGAGAATATATATTAGTGCACAATAAAAACGACAAAACCTTTTCATTTATCAGAAAAAATTTTTTTTCTTAAAGCCACTGGACGTACAACCAACTGTAACATCATGGAATGATAGTTTCTGATATACTGAGTGAGTTGGGTTCAACGCCGCTTTTAACAATATTCCAGTTATATCGCGGCGTGTCAGCTTAATGTGGGAGGAAAGCCCGAAGTGATGCAAGTCGCAGACGTTTACCACTTCGGTGAAACTCACGAGCACGGGTATGGTGCTGACAAACCTAGAAACATAATCGGGGCGAACCGGGATTCGAACCCACAATCATAGGTTTCTGGCGTGCCCAAGGGACGCAAATCTGCACAGCGAATCGCGGCACCTTAGACGACTTGGGCACCCGTCCCCCGTTTCTGATATATGTATATATGAATGATGTACTATGTCCAGGCATAGTTTCTTTGACACACAAAGAATTAGTTTGTTTTCTTTTTGAGAAGCTATATTATCACGGAGACCAGTAATTAATATAATTATCTAGAAACCTAAGGCATTGCTCACAGCATAATAGTTTTATGTTCACTGTATCCAAGTGATGGTATTTGTCGACTCACCGACTAGAAATAATCCGGTCAACAGAAATAGGTGCACGATGTTCATGTCTACCAGGCTACTGAATGGTCAAGAAGAACATAATCAGAACAGCTCAACTCAAAACATCACCAAATGTACAGATACAGTTTGTTCAATGAATATCATTAAGCAGTATTGGTTTTGTCAAACAAGATGGGTTTTACGTCAGAATAAGTAAATGTTTATTATCGATAAACACAAAAGAAAACAATATTAAGGCATTAAGCATTGTAGCTCACGTAACGTACCTAACAATAACTTCAACCCGTGCTACTAACTAGCTAGGGTGTTGTACAATGTATTGATGGGTCATCGAGGGCGCTTCACATAATAGTTACTCACTCGCTGAAAAATGAATGGCTTCTGGGTAACTTAAATATGACCTATATTGCGACACGGTAGTATGGAGGGTCGCATGTCGATTTGTAGGGAAGACAAAAAAATATACATACAAATAGACAGTCAGACATATTTTATTTTAAGTCTCACCTCACACATTAAAACAACATGTTACAAATTGTCATAAAACAATATAAAAGTGAGCCACCCGTTTGGGAGCAATGAGCAACCTACCTTACCTGTCCGTCAGTGTTTGTACAGCGTCTGTAAGGCGGTCAATGTGTTTCGCAACCTCAAACCCTCGATGTCAGAGTGGCCTAAATAACTATCAGAGACGTTTTTATTGACCGTAGTTATATACAGGGTGGTAATCATATACTACATAGAAACAGGAGTTGAATTACAACATCACTAGTATACCCATGTGTAACAACAAAGACCAATGACATACATTAATTGTCTGCTCCAATAACGTGTTGGCTTTATTCTTGGGTTGTTCGTGGACAGTGAGACAGCGTTGGCGACTAGCGGGTAGCGGGTCGGTGTACCCGTCTGGGTCGATAACATAAGCTCTGTCTCTGACGCAAATGTGAATGGACTCGCTGTGTTGTTGTGCAAGGATGTGTTTATTGTCGACAAGCCTGGATGGTGGTCTCGAGGTCTTACTCTTGTTACGTGGTCAAAGTATTGAGAGAAACATAATATTTATCTCCGCATATGAACTCTATTAACAAATTACACATCAACAAACAAACGGCCGTTGTTTCAGACATCGTGTGTCATACTTGGAAATGTCGACAGAATAGAATGTGATACGATGGACTGTTTGATCACAAGTGTTGTAGTTTTGAAGCGTGTGCGCGTGTTATATTATCATTGAGACACATACTACTGACCACAAAGCGTATATACAATGTACTAAGCTACAACACTGCCTATGACTCTAATTACGTCTAATATACTGTTTCCATATTACTTACCACATAAGGAAATAATGAAAGGGTCACAAATATTAATCAAAGTTGAACATTCTGCAGCCCTGAGCACATTTATAATGAAATATGGTTATTGAACATAATTCAAACCCAACTACGCAATTCATGTAGTCAATTAAATTATGATTTATTTAGGTTTAGAATGAAAAACACTCCTCACTTTTTTCAGTTGTCTCCAGAATAAACACGACTCCGATCAGCAATGCGATAATAACAATTAGTTAATGGTGCTATGTGTTGATAATAATAAATTATCAAGGTCTGTTTCCATCTATCAACATGGCATTCCGGGGACAAATAGCTACCAAATATACAAGCATTGGATTATTACAATGTGTGACCTGACCATGACTGATGGGCTAGTACCTCAAAACATCCGGACGAGTACACCTTAAAATATGGTACTTGTTGTTATTTTGCCTGGCGCTCGACATTAAGGGGCTAAAACAAGGACTTGTCTGTTCGGAGTCAGTACACACACACTGTAAGTCCATTAATAATACACAATCATGAAACATTTGTAGATATGTTAGGACAGTAAAAGGTTGTCTGTAGTGTGATGTGTTTCATGGGCATTAATCAAGTCAGGGTGTGTATCGATATTGCAGGGGAGCTGACTCTGGCACTATTCTGATCACAGCAAGTAACGACGATGGACGTATTGTGATAAACATCACGTCACTGGACCTCTCATTATACAGTTGCAGCACTATGAATAATAAATTCAGTGTCTATGACGGTGGGCGTATATAGCGTTAACTTTGACTGACTATAGTCTGGAGATTTGGGGGAGGGATTCTGCTCCCGATTATCCCGAGAATATTAATGAATCGTCTCTAAATATTCACATAGAAACGATAAATAAACTATTAAACTGGGTTCCACGAAGTCAGCTCAGTAATGCCCCATATATATGTTGATTGGACTAGTGGTCTCCTGATAATGCTACTCACCGTGCAGATCTGCCGTTCATGGTTCGAATGACATGCCCATCCTGATTACGGACCCTCGGGGTGTTACAAAAGGGTAAACCGGCAACCGTCTGGCTTACCTTCAACATTAAATTGACACGTAATGTAACTGACATAATTTTCAAAGTAGGGTCATATTCCCTGAAAACCAGTATCATCAGATTTCTTGCGCTCGCAGGTCCCGATTACAGTCTCGACTATGACCTACACGGGATGGCGGGAGGGAAATTTTAAGAAGCACCGGTCGCTACTTGTTGATTCACTACCGCAACGTCCACGCCACAAGTCTCTCGTTTTCATTTGCGTATTACAGTAAGTATGACGACATTTAGAGGTATCCAAAATTACTTCCACAACTATAAGAGCAAATATTTTTAATTTTGTACCTTTTTCTTAAGAAGTAGATATTAACATATGTTGTATTTGGGATAACACCTTTTTAGTAAAGTACAGATTCTCCTACTTTTGTGGGTTGAGACCCATTCGTGATTCGAATCCACACTGCCAGAATGAGGCACCTAATCGCCAGCGCACAGAATCAGCGATCTTACCCACTAAGACACCGAGGCTCCCACAAAAATAAAAGTCCGACAACTGGTAGACTTTTAAGTCTAGATCACGTACTTTGTGTACCCCTCTGACAGGTGTCAATTGGCACGGCTCCCATGGCCGAAAGCTATATGAACACACCATGCCATTTAGAAAGTGGTCAAATGTTACAAATACAAATGTTATATTTGAGATAACACTTTCTTAGTAAAGTACGGATTCCCCTACTTTTGGGGGGTTGAGTTCCGTTCGGGATTCGAACCCACACTGCCAGTGTGAGTGAGGCACCTTATTGTAGTTATTAGTAACGATCCTTAATTCATATGTGTCGATCATTAAGACACTCATTTCAGTTTCATCAATCACTGTACAGATGATACACACAGAAGTGGTCTTTTGAACGACCTGCAATATGCTTTTAACTGTAAAGGGAAACGAGAAAAAAAGAAAGACCAAAAGATTTAGATGCGTATAATCTTAAATTACTAGGAGTAAATACCACATTATCACAGAACAATTATATTGCGATGTTTTATTCTGATACACCCACATAAATAGGTAGGTCAAACAAGCACATTAGCTGTCGGCAATGAACCACGAGATCTTTATTGTATCAAGACAATGTCTTGGACGAACGTGTCTGTTGCTGAATCACCACTGGTGTCGCTATTTGTAGGCCAAGAAGCCATCAGTAATCCTTCGTCGCAACGGCCTGCAACAATCTTTCAGAGTACGAGACACCGATTTCCCCACCACAACAGCAGACAGGTTATCCTTTTTCTACTGTGGGTTATCTGCCTTCTGGTTCTGCGATGGGTTATCCTTCGACTCCTCCACAGGAACAGATAAAGGGAAATCCAATACCACATCATTCAGATCAGTTATCAGGTCAGTCTGTGCTTAAAGCTAAGGCCGATCTCTACACAGTACCGCATCTTGCCAGAGAATAGTGCCATTAAATACCATAAAATTGTACATGTCACCAATAAGGACACGGGATCAGTGACTTGGGATCAATTCCATCTAGATTTACACGATATCTACATGTACTGAACTAACCGCACGTTTGTGGTGCCGGACACCGATAAGTTATGGTATGAGTTCGATCCGCGGTCGCGCCATACCACAAGACCTTAAAAGACGGTACTTGTTGTTACCCTGTCTGGCGCTCGATATGCATGCACGTCGTTATATAAGTGCAATAATTTTGGACGTGACGTTAAACCCTATTTCACCTTACCTCTTTTGATCATAGAAACTATGACACTCCCTGTACGTCCAGAACACTGACCATAGGAACAGCGTAAATACTATCTTTATAAAGTGCTGATAAACCAACATGAATAGGAATAGAACGGGACATTTCCATCGATGTATGACATGTAAGTGAGTGAGTGTTTAACAGTTTTCAGTTATATCACGGTGTGTCAGCTTGCCTTAAACGATGCAGGTCCTACACGTTTCCTAGGAGACCTAGAAACATAACCAGGATTTTAACTTATCGGTGTCCGGCATCGATATAGGGCCTAGATTTTGAAACGATCTTAGCCCTAAGATTATCGTAAAGTTATCGTAAGGAAATCGTAGGCTATCGTAGCCTATTTTCGAAACTATCGTAGCCCTAAGATATCTTAAGTTTGTCGTAAATCTAAGATAGCCCTATACCTGTCGTAAGTTTATTTTATCTTCATCCAAGATGGCGGCATACTTTTCCATAGATATTTTGCCAAACAATAAGTCTGCTTTACGTTCAAACATTGACATTTCATTTGGTAAAACTGAGTGATTCAAATTGACACTTCGAAAACAAAAAGAACGCATCATGGATTTCGCGTCAAAAATTTTCTCACTCGCGACAGCGATCCACATAACTGTGGAGTCGATAGCTTACAATATATTTCTATCCGAGTCCATGCAGAAGAAGTGTGAAACAACATACCTTTTCGATAATTTGGGAGGGATAAAAAGGGAAGGTGTCGGCAGGCTACAGTAATGACCGTGACCTCATTGATAACTCAGGGGGAGCTAATCTTAGTTCAAACTCTAGTTGAGAGTGGTTTCCCTTTGTACTCGCCCGGGACACCTTGCTCAATGGTACAGTTTTCATAAAGCGCAGAGTTCCGCTGTTATATTTTCTGGATCGCATTTGTGTCAATGCTTTAGTCTTTATTTTCGCATTTGATAAAATTATATCAATCTACATATGTAAAAATAACCATAAAGGTTTCGCATAAGTTTTTACATCTAAAATCGTGTGGGACGGGTGGTTTTAATAATTGAATTTTAACTATACAGTGTAGTATTTATTGACTTAACAAGGAAATACATGTGATCAAATATTTGTTTTCCATATCTAATATTTTT